TCGGACTCGAGAAACAGCCCTTTTCCACAGTGCCACTCTCAACATTAAGACATTGTCCCAGGAGGGCGGGCATCTGGCTCCACCATTGCCTATATTTTGCACTGACGCTCAATGGTGGGTTTGTGCAGAACTTGATCTGCTGGTATTCATCTGATGCCACTGTTTTGTTTGAATGGATCCATCTTAAGGGTTATATTTCACACTGTTCAGAATTTGTAAGCAGCTTGCATAGAAAAGCGTGTCAAACCTTTATAGACATACATGCATGCACACTTGCAATATTTGCATGCTGCGAAGGTCCATTTAGACACTTAAAAAAAATTATGCCGGCATTTGACCAGTTTCCAGTAACTGTCCTTGTACTGCATCAAGGCACCCCAAGTCAGCAGCCTGAGTCATGCGATCTTTTTACAGAGAGCTTGAAAACATCACACTTCTTATATTAATAGATCTTTATCTCCAAGTACTGGCTGTCCCTCTCATTTCTTCACCTTACCATGTGTTTCCCCCCTTCCTTTTTGAAGTGTTATCTAAAGTAACTGTGACTATGACCACAGTGTTTGTCACCCAAGTTCTTTAAAAAAACACAAAAAAACAGTAAATGGTGAAATCCCCAGATTGCACATCACTTTCCCTCAACCAACACAGAAAGTAATAGTCCTCCTCAGGAGTTAAGGCTGTGAAGGAGAGTTGCAAAGGGTGGGTGTCACACATTTAGCGCTCCCCCCATCACACAGCATCTTCTGGTTTTCCTGTGTCCCTATCTGCAGCAGGGAAACTCTTTTCTTTTTCTTTTTTACATAGCTCCCTGTACAACGAAGGACCCACATCTTCCAGGGTCTTCCATTCCATGGAGAACCTCCGCCAGCAGTAAACGTTCCCCTACAGCCGAGCCAGAAAGAGCTATACAATTATGAGGAGAGGTTCCCACTGCCTTTTCCTGCTCATGCTGCTTCTTCACAGCTTTTCATGCCAAAAGGGAAGCTAATCAATGGTTCCTAAACTGTTGTGCTTCAAAACACGAGTACGCCTTGAAAAATTAAGTGACCATTTTGGATGTGTCAGCCTCCAGCTCCCCCTCAGGCCTTCCAAATCTCCGCTGTCCCGATATGTGGGCAGGGACAGCATCATCAATCTAAGGAGAGGAGGATATATCAGGAGATACACAGATTCAATATATGCTATAGCTGATCGGCACAAAGCAATCCTTGGATCCTGTTCAAAAGCAGCACCATCAACACTTGCCCATCCCAAGAGATGTGCAAATCTGTCAATTTCGGTTTGTCTCAGTTCCTCCATTTTTCACTCGGAAGTCCAGTTCTCCATATATATGCACATCAGTTTGATATTTTTTTAAGTCCTCGTGAAAATTAGTCACATGCACATTTTTGCATGCAATTTTGACTCACACACGTGGTGTTCCCTAATACAATGCAACTTTGTAGGTTATTTTTACCAACATATGCCTTTATATACAGGCAACCCCGCCTCCATTTACAGGCATTCAATACGTCCATGGCCATGCATACACACATCACATTGAACCAGAAGTGACTACAAAAATGGCAAAAACGGCCCTAAAAGAGCCCAGAAAAGGTGCGAAAACAGTGCCTAACAATCCCATGAGCCCTTGCACCGACCGTTGAGGCCTATGTAGGGTTGGAATTTGGGGGAGGTGGTTTGGAAAGAGCAATTGTGGTGGAGTTTGGAGTCTGGTAAGTGCTGCTGGGTTTTTTTAACTGGGTTTTTCAAGTGTTTCCAGAGGCTTTGAGGGTGCTTGCAGGTTTTTCCAGTGGTGTTTCAAATATGCACGATTTCACATATACATGCGGTGCCTTGGAATGTAACCCTCACGTAAATGGGGAGGGGGTTGCCTGTACACACTTTACCCTGCTATATGCATGTTTGTATCCATTACTTGAATGGATAACTGCATTGCAAAATTCAGAGAAGTGTGAATTTCAATGGATAGCTGTTTTTCCAGTTTGAATATTGTTTTGAAAAGTGCAAACTGAGGGGGGGGTGTCCCTTTACATGCAAAGTGAATTGAATCCCATCCCCTAAAAAAAAAACCACAACCCATCATTAGGGATGTGGGTGGCGCTGTGGGTTTAACCACAGAGCCTAAGACTTGCCGATCAGTAGGTTGGTGGTTTGAATCCCCGCAACGGGGTGAGCTCCCGTTGCCCGGTCCCTGCTCCTGCCAACCTAGCAGTTCAAAAGCACATCAAAGTGCAAGTAGATAAATAGGTACTACTCCGGCGGGAAGGTAAATGGCGTTTCTGTGCGCTGCTCTGGTTCGCCAGAAGCAGCTTAGTCATGCTGGCCACATGACAGCTGTACACCGGCTCCCTCAGCCAATAAAGCGAGATGAGCGCCGCAACCCCAGAGTCGGCCACGACTGGACCTAATGGTCAGGGGTCCCTATACCTTTACCTTTACCCATCATTAAAACAGCCACCTGTGGGCCCATTATGGAGGATGTTAGGACAGCTCAGCCATCATAGTCAGGTCTGGGCAGTGCGGAGCCTTTCTGGACTCCTGGAGGAGCACTCTGTCTTCAGCACAGAATCAAGCAGTGCCAGGGGAGGGAAGTCCCCTCTTCTGCATGCAACACACAAAAAATGCAGCAGGCTGCTGCAGAGGAGATCTTTTCCATCTCTGCAAGAACATAGAAAGCTAGTTCTTCTTTTTTAAAATAAAGGAGAAAAAAATCAGGCTAGTATGTTATGGGCTTATTTACAAGCCTGGCTTCATGATGGACATTTTCCTCCCCAAAATGTTTATTTTTGCAGACAAACGTCCGACATATTTATTCTCAGCTGCAGGAAAGAGTGCTAGGCAATTACTAAGCATATTCATTGCTGTAACCAAACAAATAGCAATCACATCATACCACAAAGCCCTCTCCCTACTTTGTGCTGCTTGTCTCAATTGCTTGGAAGATCTCCCCTCCAGAACGAATTTTATGGTTCTTCCTTCATTGCATTAGCGACCATTATATTTCCAGTGATGGATTGGTGAATGTGATGCAGATCTTTGCAATAAAGAATGAAAAGGAATTCTAAAATAAAGTAAATAGACTTGTACTTCCTGTAAATTATCAGCTGGGCTCTACAACTCTCATTTGACTATCCTTACCCTGTGTAATGAGGACCCAGAACCCACTTTTTTCACTGTGGTTTTTGGGTGACTTAAATTAAGCCATCAGTGAGTGGGGAAGATATCAGGTTTTGCATGAAATTGTAAGAGAAATGAAATTTCAGAAGCTAGACAGATCATCGCATAGTAGGTTTCCAGGTGCTAGTATTTTTGCAGCCAATATCAGGTTCCATGTATTGCTCTCACACACTGAGGAGAAAAATAATTCCCCCTTAAACTGCCTGCACTTTCCTCCATGAAGCACTAGAGGCCACTGTGCTGCAAACAGCTTGACCTGTTGCAGCAATATTGGATTTTTTTTCGGTGGTGGGGTGTGGGATGGGGAAGGAAGGAACCATATGAAGTTAAAAATAGAAACTGACACTGACTTCAATATGCTTTTCACCGATCAGAAAAGCTTTTATCAGAGTGCATGCACACATTTTATTAAAGGAATAGGCAAGCCTTTTTTTTTTTTTTAAAAAAAAGACACTCTTCTTTTCTTGATGTTATTATTGCAACACTGAACACAACAGTAATGACACAAAAATGCACTAAGGTAAACTGGGTCACTGGGAGGCAGACTGCTAAATGCTGAAGAAGGTCGGCTTGCCATGGTTCCCTCTGACTGTAGAGTGCTGGGTGGTCATCTTCTTCTCTTGGGTGACTTTAGTGGCACTTGAGAAAAGTGAAAGGAAGTGGGGCAGGCAAGGCGCTAAAACACGGTTTGTGCCGGTGGCTTCCCACAGGTAAAAAGTGCATCCGATTCTCTGTCAGACCTAATTACGCAGCCCTTGCCCTTGCACTGCAGCCGGAATTAAGTGCACTTTCAGTACTTAAGACAATTAAGCATCGCCTCCGCTTAACTAGGAAACCCAAAGTTAATCAATTCATGTTGGGAAATATGTGGCTGTCAGGTGTCGTTTTCTAAAATGTGAAAATATGACCTTGACATTGCAATGAGACAAAAATTAACACATGTGCAAGAATCACGACCGCCACACTGCGTTCACTTCAAATTCTGTGCTTCTTAATTCAACACGTTTGTTTTCCTTGATAAAGAAGGACTGACCCATAAAATTTGAACAGATGGGATTGGCAGTCACAAATGCAATCGCGCTTCTGCGTAGTGCATGCATTTTTCTTTAAGAACTGTTGACCTTTAAAAAAAACTTCAAGGAGGTAGGAATGTACTACTTAATGATTTATTCATTGAAGTTAAGTTGAAAATCTTCACTGAGAAAACTCCCTCTGATATCAGATGGATTCTTGAGTGAAACTGAGCTCATCCATATGGTACACTGCCTCTTTCTTAGTGGGAAATATTCCTGGGTGATCTTAAGCATCACCCTTATTTCACTTCCGTCATGGATTTAAAAAGCCACCACCAAGTTTCCCACTCTTTTCTCCTTTCATTCCCTAAAAGTTCACAAAGCAACTGGTTTGTAAGGGAGGAGAAAAAGTTAAACCAACCCAACCCAGGGTCTTTCTTGTCAAGGTAGTTTGTTTAAGAGATATGGGTATGTACCGTAGCTTGAATTTATTAATGCTTTTAGACGTGGCTTACTATTATGTTCCCATAAATTATAAAAGAGTATATTACTAAGTGCTTGTAAACATGAAGCGGTAGACCCACCTTCTGCAATGTGGTGCCCTGCTCCCACCATTCATTCATTTATTTATCTATAATGGGAGACAGTCGGGTGCCTTAAAGCTGTCTCCGGTCACCCACCATCTTTCTTTCCCCAGAGGCATTCTAGGAAATGAAGGTGGGTGCTTTCTGGAACCTCACCTGTAGAGTAACTAAGGAATGCCTTGGTGCTTAAGGAAGGAAGGAAGGGGAGCCTTCTGTCACCACTCCCTGGTAATCTTTATGGTGGGCAGTTGGTAGAGCATGAGACTCTTAATCTCAGAGTCATGGGTTCAAGCCCTACACTGGGCAAAAGATTCCTGTATTGCTAGGGGTTGGACTAGCTGACCCTCAAGGTCCCTTCCAACTCTACAATTTTATGATAGCGGAGAGGGCACTGGAGCTGCCAGAGCTGAGGGACAGAAAGAAAGGAGGAACATGTGTGTGAGGGAGATGAAGCGTGGCTGGGTAAGAGTGTTATGGAGACTCCTGAAGTAGATATACCACCAATGAGGCAGCTCTACCCATTGAACATCCAAATCTGGGCACTTTTACACAGTGCACATATCCCACCCACCCCAATAATAAGGCTGTACTCAAACTTTTGATTATGACATAATGGCAGGACGCAGATTTTTTATTTATTTGTAGTCTTAAGACTGGCTTCACATTTTTTGCCGCTGCTGTTGTAGTTGCCGATTTACTGCCATGCTTTCATGTTTACTGTTTAATCTATTTCTCAGCTCTCGCAAGTTGCCTTGTGAATCTTATACCCTAAAAGGCGGAGCATAAATATATGAAATAAATTAATAATATGCAGTCTGCTATGTCACTCACAAAAGTGTACTTTAAAATGAGGACATACTGTAGGACGCCAACATATTTTCTAGTATTTCTTTAATCGAAAGAGCAATTGTGCCGTCCTGGCATTTAAATCAGTGGCAGAAAAGCTACTGTAACATGAGGCAACATAATAGAGGTAAGGGTAGGGGTAGGGGTTGGGATACTGCAGACAGCCCTCTAGATGTTGCTGGATGTCTGCAGGCAGCACCGAATGTGGCAGCTGGGGTAAAAGCAGAAGCTGAGTCAGAAAGTTCCAGTGCTGATCAGGAGAGGAGCAGTAGCCAGGTCAATTGCAAAGCAGACAAAACTTCTGTTATCATTGTCCTGCTTTGCTGTGCTACTGCTTCCCCCCTGAAGGGAAAGGAGAGATGCTGCCGGACCATCCCTGGAGGACACTGGATCCACCCACCACTGATTTGCAACAGCTGACCTTGACACCACACCTCAGAGTGGGATGGGGAGGTTAAAGGGGGGAAATGGTTGATTCGATGTGAATGGTTTCTGGACTAGGAGAAGGTTGAGGTTTTGCTTATTTGTTCATTAGTGGGTCAGAGTATCGCATTGTTTATTATTTGGGTATTTTTTTAGATGTTATATGAAATATTAATGCATTATATCATCCACACACACACTTTTCTCCCATATGTATTGTATATATCTCTTTTTTTGCTGTATGTCACTTGGAGACCTTTGGGTAACAAGCAACTAATAAGTCTAATAAATGAAAAATGAAATGTTACAAAGCTCAACCCAGCTTTGTAACCTAGGGTGGCGTGGCATGCATGCAGTCCCATAAGAGCCAAGGTCCCTTCAGCCACCCCCCCAATAAAATATTTGAGGGACTGCCCCCCCCCAGTGGATGTGCATTGCCATTCAAACGGTGTGCATGCACCGCCTCTTGCGATCAATTATGCAGGACAGGACTTACCTGCCCTTCCCAACAATTTATTCAAGTTGACACCCCTGTCAGAGGTCCCCAAGCAGTCTCCCATCCAGTTACTGACCAAATTCAGACCACCTGAGCTTAAGCAGAGTGTCTGCATTAAGTTCCTTCAGACCACACCCCAACAGCAATGTTTCAATTATATGTGTCTTCCAATAAAGATTCTTTTAAGATGTGGGATGCTATAGTTGAACGGATACATTATCAAACTCTCTTGCCATCATATTGACCTGACACACTACACAGTACACGTTCCTAATCAGCTGCAACTGCAATCCAAGCCCAATGGTGGGTGCTGAGGTTACCAAGAAAGGGAAAAGATTAGCTTTGATACCCTGAAGTTGCCCCCCCTCCCCCGCCCCAGTAAAGGAAGTTGAGAAATGGATGTGTGCCACATCGGAAGGCTGAAAAATGATCAATGTCTGCAAGAGAATAATGGATTGATATAATCAAAAGAGAATTGATAAAAACAGAACAGCAAAGAAGATTAGCGGCAAGAACAAGAGAAACTGAGCTTGGAAACTGGAATAGAGCCAAGAAGTGAAGCTAGCTTTTAAAAAAATCGTCCATTTGCCATATTATAGTTTCTAGTGCAGTTTCTCAACAACTAAAATGGGAATGTTATTTTCTTTATATTCTTGGAAGTAGAAAATAATCTACGTACTGATTTAAGCTGTAATCAGACAGAGAGAAACAAAAGTTAAGCAAATGGTTTTGTGCACAAAATTGGGATGGGTGAAGAATGAAGAATCAAGCTAGATTTCATTTATTCTCACATATTTATCATACATCTCATTATAATCATCATGCAGTATTTGAACAGCTTCTAAAACCACTTCTGATTATGCAAATAAGCACAGATCTTCCATTTCATTTTCAGAAGCTGCTTCTTCTGGCTCCACCTCTCTGTTCTACAGTTTTTATGAATGAAGAGCAATCATTGACAATGAATGGCTGCCAACTGCCCATTCAACCCCTTCTCAGTTTTTCCTTGCGCACACATACTACCAAAAAAAGATGCTGCACTATGACTACAGATGAGATTTCAGTACATTTTGCAACGAAAGGATGTCCAACAACACCAACGAAAGGAATTCAATGTCCTGCTAGCTAATCCAAATATAGACTTAACATCACTACGCTTTTTCCAATATTCAGTGTTAGGCAAATTATATTTAAACGTGTCAACAGAATGTTTGTTTTATTTACCCAGGATTATCTATGTTAAGCTCTTGCATTTACAAGTATTATTTTCCTTATTTCATATTTATTTTTGCTATTTAAATACGACCGCTACAGTGCTTCATGCACCATAGGCTGAAGGAAGTTCTCTACCCTGTTCTAGCATTTGCTAGTCAGAGGGCCCCTTGCACATGTTGATTCAACCCCACCACCAAACCCTCCTCCACTGCTCCTCTGTCTTGCACCCCTCCCCCTCCAAGGAAAATAAATCCTCCAAGAGAATCATAGCAGGCAGAGAACTCCAGATATGATCCAAAGGAACCATCTGGCCTCGCCTTATGCAGAAAACAGCACTCCCTAAGCATCTTTCCTCAAGGAGATAATCACAAGGGGTGAACCCATCACCCCTTGTAGTAAATGATGTTCAGAACAGAACTTTCCACCAGTCTTCCAGAGGTATGGCTGGGTTGGCTTCTTCCGTCTTCCCTGGAGCCCTCCTCAACCTGCCATCTACTCCCTAAGGGGAGGGTTTTTAGTTTTTTAATCATTGGGGGAGAGGGAAGGGTAGTGAGAGAAGGAAGTTTCTTACATCTTTGCTCTGTCTATCACACGGCTGATTGTGTCCGTGATTTTCTACATTGATATAATTTTTGTTTCCTTGAACATAGTCAAAATGATTGCTTTGTGTTTTTCATCTTAGCTCTATTCATTATGTAAAAATGTCAGTAATTCCAGTTCTTTTGACCTATCATTTGTCAATGTTCTGACGCTGGGATGATCAGGCTGAGAAAGCATTCTCTCCCCCCCCCCCTTCCCTTTTGTAAATGTCTGGAAGCATGTCTGACTGAGGCATTAACATTCCAAAGACAAAAAAAATAACAACAACACCTCAGGAGCTCAAAGATCAGCAGATTGAAAAAGAACAAAGAAGAAGAAGAAGAATCCAAAATGTCTCAGCTTGAGGGAGGATTCATTTGTAGGACTTCAGCTAACGATAGACTCATTGTTCCTTATGTGTTCCTTAACATCTTTTGGGCTATCCTTCTCGCCTTCACATTCAGAGAGACATTTTAAATCATAGGTATTCTATTTCCACGGATGATGCTAATTTAGTTTGAGTCATAACTGTTAAAATATATTGCACAGCGTACAATGCTCATGTTCAACATAACAAATCACATTTGTTTGCACTGTACAAAATACTGTTAGTTCAGTTACCCTTAATTACGTCTATTCTGTCCAGTAAGAATTCACTCAGAGCTGCATTTAAACTTCAATGGGAGAAACTTGCTCTGCGGAATGCTTTTACCTGATGACTGCCAAATAGTGTGTCTCTCTAGAAGCACAATTTCCAGTTGGGGTAAAATAAGCAAAATAATCCAGTCAATATTTCCGAACAGGATAGCCTACTATCAGCCACAGTACTACAAAAATCTGGGTGTGAGTATGCATGCTATCATTCACAGTGCCCTAATTCTGTATCCAAATCACATATACAAATTATTTATTAAATCCTTGAGAGCATTTGCAGGAATCCAGAAGGAGAGGATATGATGAAGGTAAGCTGAAGATCTATGCCATGACTACTTAGCCATTAGATGGAGTGAGGCTGCTGCCTAAGGCCGCGGAAGCCCCCAAAGGCGGCTTCGTACCCGCAGCAGGTAAGAAACATCAGCATCAGCACCACTTTGGGGTGAGATTACATCCAGGGCGGGGTGGGGGACTCTCACCCAATATCAGCACGATCATGGTGGAGCTTCTCAGTCAGCGATTGGTGCAGCAGATCACATGGTGCTGGCAAGGCAAGGCAGCACTTAACCGTTTCGCCCAAAGCGGCAAACCAAGATGTGCCACCGCTGCTGTGGACTGTTTGTATGCTAAAATAACAGTCTACAAATTTAATTTAAAAGGGTGGAGAAGAAGAGATTCACTAGCCCACACAAAAAAAATCTATGTGATTTTCCATCATTTGTTTTCCTTTTGTTATAACGATTTAATTTCTGACTTATTTATAGCTCCCCCCCCCCCCCGTGTGTAGATCCACCCATGGTGTTTCTTTCAGACCAGACCAGAACAACTACTGGGAACTCCTCCTGTCCCCCAGATGCAATGAAGCAAAGTTCCACCAAGTGACTAAACTATATAATGGCACTAGCCACACACATACTTATTTTTGGATAGGGTAAGTGTGATTGGCTTTCCCCGCCCCATATGTTTATTGAATTTTTATATATAAACATACATTCCTAAAATGAAAGAACAGTGAACAGTTGACAACCTATGACCACTAAAAAGCGTTACTTAAAACATTTAACTTATGCTTCTTGCAACATTCTTCCTGATC